TTTCGATCGTGAATGTGAATGAATATAAACCGTTGAATGTGAATGAATACATCCCGTAAATGTGAGTAAACATATTCGTGAATAAGAAATACGTCGTTAAATGTGATTAGTATATCTCTTGAATATAAATTTAGTTGTTGAATGTGAATAAATATATTCGTGAATAATAATAACAACATTAAATGTGAATGAATATAAACTTTGTGAATTTTGCACCATTTCGCCAACACCCATAACTGAACACTCACGGTATGTACAGCAGACTGCTTGTTGTCATACATGAAGTACCGTGTTGGAGCCCCAACCACTGCGAGAGTGCGTGGTGTCGTGGTTGTAGGTGATAAGAAGGTTATATTTATAACGGAAAATTGTACATACATGAATCTCAGAGATAGCTGGCGTAAGGCCTGTTTACAAGGAGGGAGGATTACCCTAGCAAGCGGGTTAACCCGAGCTGTAGGGCAAAAGATAGCCCGGGTTTACAAGCAAAATTTTACAGGTAGGATAACCCTACAACCCGGAACAGCTTAATGAGCAGTTACACTCAAAGGGTCTGGAAACAATTAGAAAGTTAACCCGGGTAGGCGGGTTAACCCTACCTGGAGTGTTTACAAGGGAAAAAGTTAAGGGCCAATTAACCGATTCATGCGCGCGCTCGCGCGCGTTGCTAAGGAGGTGAAATTTCACTTCCGGTCACTTACGTCAGCCNAAGTGAAGTATTTATTTCTTATTTTTATTCTATTTTTGGGGGGTGGTCTGTAGAGGAGATCCGTACAGGTAGTCCGTGGACCCGGTCCGTAGTGGGGGTCCGCGGACCGGGGATCAGTGTTTTCGGGCTACCCCATTGGGAGCCTGTTCGCAGGCTATTTTTGTTGACGCATTTTGAATCCATATGCATTGTCTGTATCTTAGACCTGGTTTCTCGTGGGGACTGAAGTATTTAAATTTTGCTTAATATTTAAAAATGCTGCTGTTGTATGTGTTTTTTCTCAACGTTACTCAGTCATATGTATAAAATATCAGAATTGAGACATTGATTACTTGATATCACTGAAATTTATTGAAGGTCATTCAACTTCCCTTATCAAATATGCCTTCCGGCCTCAACTTTATACCCGAATATTCAATTGTTTCGTAACACATGAACTACGCCTGGTTTGGAACAACAATCTAAACAATCTCAACAATCTAATTTTAGATTGTTGTTCCAAACCATGCGTAGTTCACGTGTTATGTTTGTTGCCGCTGTTTGCATTTTATTTCTTATTCAATTGTTTCGTATTCATTTTTCAAAGGGCGACTGTGTGTTTTTCAAAGGGGAAGGAGGCAAGTTAGGTGATCTTAGTCGAGCTATGTCGTATCCGACTTTTAGCGGTGTTGATGTGCATTTTGTTGATGACGCTTTACTCGCTGGTGACTGAGAACTGCTCATTGTCACGATCTAAATCCTTAAAACTATTCAAGTGTGAAAAAGAAAATGTCTGAACAAGAACAGTAAACTATGATAGACTTCCGCTGCTATAGGGGATTTTGTGATATTCGCGAAGTAGCCTGCGAGGAAACTGTCTTTAGAGCTCCTCTGAGCAGGGTGAGGTAAGGGAGAGCAAGGAGAACTAGACAGGATGTCACGGATTGACATACGGTAGCTGATAGTCATTTGGTGTTGAAATACTTGCGCAAAAAAGATCACGTGAAAAAGCCAGATTATTATTATGAGGTCACGAGTCAGATGCGCTCATCTTTCATGGGATGAGGGAAAATTCGCTGTTTGGTTATTTGTACTTAAAACTTTTGGTTTCGCTTTCAGTCATTTTCTATACACGATACAGGCCTAGTCGATTCAGAAACTCAGACTTTCCCAATGTTTCTCAATGACTCGTGTAGTAATTGCTGTAATCTGTTCGCCATAGCCTAGCAAGTCATCTGAGACCATCTCAATCATAGTTTTCTGTCTGATCAGCTGAGGTGAAGGTCTGAGTTG